GCCACAAGAGCCGGAGTTGCGGATGCCACCCATGTACCTGGAGCCGGGCACGGAGATAGTGGACATCTCCGACGAGGATTAAGGTAGTATAGGTTGATCTACGTAGGATTTCCTCGTTTGCATGCTTTGTATTGATTTAAGGTTTCAAATATGAGGTATCCGAATGCAGAGGAGTAAATTTGAGCCAGTCACTGCCCGCGGACGTGCACGTGCGCATCCATGGCGCGGCCATTTTAGGTCCTGGATTTGCCAAGTCCTTGGTCTAATCGGCCCAAAAGCCCGGACTGAGTGATACTCCCCATATTCAGCCCATATGTAGGGTGGACATGGGGATGCCCGGACGAGCCCGTCATGTCGGATCCGACCGACTCTGGCCCACTCGGCCCCACATAAATTGGACCCTATACGCACTCCTGACAAAACCCTAGCCGCATTCCACTCCCCACTTCCCTCCCACACTATCAAGCTCCTCTCCGTCAAGCTCTGGCATTCTCCTCCATGGAGGCCACTGGATTCGACTCAGAGATGTCTGGATCTGAGGACTAGGAGCGAATCCCTTGTAGCTCTGGAGGAGCAGATGCCCGACCGCGCTGCTCTCCGACGTTCCCATGAGGAGTGCATCCTCCCCCGATCTTCCGTGAGCCGTCAGGCATCCGTTACCCAAATGACACTTTGATCCGGGGCCGATGAATCTCAGCGTGTGACCACGGTCTCGCCGGAAGCGGTGGCCACCACATGGAGAAACCCCGTTGTGCCGTCGGAACCATTTTGGTGGCGCCTCGTCTCTGTGGCGCCAGACACCAAAAAAGAGGCCATCCGCGCCTCCATGAGTTGTTGTCAATCCAAAAAGGAGGCATGGCAAGCCCGATGCGCTAGGCTGCGGGCTCGCTTCAAGCGGGGGAGGCTTTGGCAGCCTGCGAAGTAGCATCGGAGGAGGCCCCAGTGCCTGCATAGCCAAGAAGCGACGAAAAGGAGTGTAGTGAAGGAGATGATAAAAGAGTAAAGTCGGGTGGTCTGTGCCACGGTCGGGTTGGCCTCCTAAGGAGAAGAAGGCCAAGGATGATGATGGATCGGACAACTCCGGCAGTGAGCAGATCCACCTCGATCCGTTTTGCATCTTCGACCGCTAGAGCCGCACGGATGATGGAAAGGGCAAGGGCGGCCGTGGATGAACTTTCCCCACTGCCGCTTCGTTCGTACTTAGTAGAGCATGTTAATTTTTGGTAGACCGATGACATGAGTTTAGCTATGTACGTATGTAGCATGAGAAGAATATGGATTTGAGAATTCGATTTGATGTATCTGATTGTGGGGGATAAATTTTGTTTGTTGTCCCGTCACTGTCCACAAACGCGCCTATCGCTTGGGTACCGGGATTTGGTACTTTTGGTTGCATATGATCTAAAGGTAGTTTGATGTGTCGCGCAAATCATGATAACTAGTACGAAATTTAGCAAGAACTATGATATTTTTTAATAAAGGGTGCTTTATTGCTTAAAAGGTTTAAGCATTACATCCGGCCTCCGCATAACTGAGATGCATACAAGCATAACCAAGTCCAAGTTTCAGAAAAACAGAAAAAGCGGAATACAAGTAATCATGTGGAGACTGTATAACGCCTAAGACATAGGAGGGCCAATCGAAACATCATGCTGCCATCCATGTCGGGTAAAATATCCCTCGCCGTGGCCTCCAAGCATGTGCACACCTCCGTAAACAGGTCTTGATTCTCCACATGATGTAGAGACGACTATAAACAGAGCGTACCAATACATCTGTAGATAACCTGCAGAACAGAAGAACTTTTATCGTTAAAACCTTATCATTTCTTTATAGCCAATGCGACCAGATCACGGCAAGCGCCCCCACCCCAAGAAGAGTTTTAAACTTGTTATTGATCCCATGTAACCAGTTACCAGAAATATTAGCAACACTACATGAAGGATACAAGTCAGAAACTATTGATGACTGACCATATAAGACAAGTCAATTTGCATTGAAAGAACAAGTGTTTTATAGTCTCATCATAGTGACAAAAAACACATTGCACGCTTCCATGCCAATTCCTCTTAATAAGATTATATTTGGTTAGACTGACTCCTCGATAAAAATACTATGCTAAGATTTTATTCTTGAGTAGGAGAGATCATTCCGTCATTCGTTCGGTAGACCGTGATCTAGTTTTTTTGTTCATTTGGTTAGATTATACCACCTATTCGGTAGTTAGAAGCGTCTGTTACAGGCGTTCATACACACGCCCCACGCATACTTACCCATGCAGGAGTATTTCCCAACAATATTGGCTCAAATGGTGTGTGTTTCTCTCCACCTAGATGAACAGTAAATTCAAAAAAAATCTAAACGTTTTTGGTACCAAGGATGCTTGAGTGTGCTAGGTGAATGCAACATTTGATGGACAAATGGCCTTCTGGAAAGCCCTTTTTTTTTCTGTCTACAGCTCCTCAGGTGTCATTTCTTGACGTAATTTTTTGCGCACCTAGAACACTTGAACATCTTTGATGCCACAAATATTCAGTTATATTTTCTTATATATTGTTTATGTGGGAGCATATGAGCTCAAGATCGTCTATGAATTATGGATACATTGTATCCTACTCAGTTTTTTACAAGCGTGATGCCCCTTCATCTCCAGCAGAAGTTCGTTCGGTGACAAGTTCTATGTCTGGCGGTGATACGCATGTCTCCATGTTTAAAAGATTGACTGCCTTTTTTTTAGAAAAGGGGGAAATCTCCGGCCTCTGTATTAAAAAGATGCATACGGCCATCTTATTAAACAAATAAAGCAGTGCAAACATGGTTTCAAGGTCTTCAAAAAGTAATAAAAAGCAAAAGAAAGTTCACACAGAGCCAAAAAGGGCTAGAAACACCCACTAGCCATGTAAAGACGCCACAACCGGCTGGCTAAAACTAGATAGGTAAACTACATGCCTATCCTATTACATGACCGCCATCCAAACCGGTTGAAGATATCCCGAGCTACCATCTTCCATCGGAAAGACCCAGTAACCAAGTGCTCCCTGGCCTCCATCTGGGTGAGTAGCGACCAGGAACGGATCAGAGCCGTAGTTCGGAATAAAACCTGCAAAAAATGAATACATGATATTCTGTTAAAAACCAAATCATTTCTGCAGGTCCAGATAGTCCACAACAAAGCACAAACTCCAACCCGAATGTGTCTCGCTAAGTCAGGCTCAATCCCATTAAGCCATGTCCCAAATAACGTGTTAACAGAATTCGGTGGATTTATATTAAAAGCAATGTGGACCGTCTGCCAAAGTACTTTGGCCAACGGGCAATCAAAAAAGAGATGTTTGATTGTCTCATCCCGATCACAGAAACTACACCTAGTAGGTCCTGTCAAACTACGCTTTATCAAGTTGTCCTTGGTTAAAATAACTTGTTTATGGACAAACCACATAAACACTTTTATTTTCAAAGGAACTTTGACAACCCAAACATGCTTAGAGGTAGGAATGGAGTTCGAATTAATAACATCAATATACATTGATTTAACAGTGAATACTCCAGACCTAGTCAATTTCCAGCGTAATTCATCGGGTTGTTGAGATAGTTGGACCTCCATTAGTCTCCTAACTAAACGGAGCCATTCTTCCCAACGATTGCCCGCTAGCGTCCGTCGGAACTGAATATAAGGGGGGTAGATTGAAATACTGAGGCGACGAACACTTCACGTCGTTGAACAATACGGTACAAAGACGGATATTGGATGGCCAAAGGTGTCTCGCTGAGCCAAGTATCCTCCCAGAAACGTGTACTAGAGCCGTTTCCAATAACAAACTTCATCCTATTAAAGAAAGATTGTTTGACTTTCATCAGACCTTTCCAAAAAGGTGAATTAGTCGACCTGACTGTAACCTGGGACAAAGTTTTTGTCTGGAGGTACTTGGAACGAAGAATTTGAGCCCACATGGCATCATTCTCCGTTGAGAGCTTCCACAGCCACTTGCTAAGAAGGCATCTATTCTTAACTTCTACATTCTCAATACCGAGACCCCCTTGGTCTTTCGGTCTACAAATGATATCCCATTTAGCAAGCCGTTATTTTCGTTTAAGCTCATCACCCTGCCAAAAAAAACGCGATCGATAGAAGTCCAGTCTCTTCCTAACACCAACTGGGACCTCAAAGAACGATAGGAGAAACATAGGCATACTCGTGAGCACCGAATTAATCAGGATTAATCGGCCTTCGTATGACATGAGCTTACCCTTCCAACAACTCAATTTCTTCTCAAATCGGTCCTCGATGCACTTTCACTCTTTATTTGTCAGCCTACGATGGTGGATTGGAATACCCAGGTAAGAGAAGGGTAACTCTCCTAACTCGCACCCAAACAATTGCCTATAAGCCTCCTGTTCGCCTTTGGCTCTACCAAAACAGAACAGCTCGCTCTTATGAAAGTTAATTTTTAATCCGGTCAATTGTTCAAATAGGCATAACACAAGCTTCATATTTCTCGCCTTGGCCAAGTCATACTCCATAAAGATAATTGTATCATCAGCGTACTGAAGGATGGATACACCTCCATCAACGAGATGAGGTACCAATCCACCTACGTGACCATTTTCCTTAGCCCTTCCTATCAAAATTGCTAACATATTCACCACAATGTTAAACAGGATAGGGGACATCGGATCTCCTTGTCTTAGGCCTTTATGTGTCTGGAAGTAATGGTATGTCATCATTAACTTTAATTCCCACACTACCTTCCGTTTACAAACTATTAGCGCGCTCGGCAAGGGCAGGTTACACGACAAGTCGACAACGACCTACTACATGAACGCAAGAGCCTGGTGTGGATGAGGATTCAGGAGGCCGACAGTTCACTGAGTGGTGGAGGTTAGACGTACACAACATCTTTCCTATATAAAAGCTCCATGGATGTGGATGCTCTTATAAAACCTGGGTACCACGCTGCTTCCTAGGTCACAAGTCACAACTACACTAAACTCATTACACGATGGCAGTGAGTTTGACGCCAACACCGCCAATCCTCTTTAGCAGCCCCTTCTTCTCATCTGCCATCGCAACTCGTGGCAACTACTCCTCTCGTCTTCCTCTCCAAGCATCTCCTCGCCCCTGCTTCCCCCATGTCCAAGCATCACCTGTGGCAGCGAAATCTACACCATCATCTAGTATTGAACAAGAAACAACAGATGTGGATTATGATGACGTTGCTCCCAAGACGTTGTCCAGCTATGGGCCCTCTTTGTGGGGTGACTACTTCCTCAACTATGAGCCAAAACCACTGCAGGCATACACTACCCCCACGTATACATATAATTTGCTTTCTTCCTCATCATTATGGTTTGGGACGAACATCACCAATCAAGATATTTGTTTCATTGCAATATTACAAGCTATTCTCTCAACTTAGAATTTTTTTGGCATTAATTTTTATATGCATATATGGTATATTAATAGACATAAAGTCCTAAAAATATAATATTCTCTGCGATCCATATTAATTGTCACTAATTTAGAACTTTGTACTAAATCAGCAACAATTAATATGGATTGAAGGGAGTATAAAAATATTAGTCATCACAAATGGCATACCTATTACTTTCAGGTATGTATTGTCCCTTTTGGTTTGACCTAGCTAATCAATGCATTCGTGCATGTGTGCAGAGGTCGGAGAAATGGATGAGTGCAAGGGCTGACAAATTAAAGGAGGACGTTGACATGTTGTTTAAGAGTTGCAACTGCATGGTGGAAAGAATAACCTTATTGGACACTGTCCAACATCTTGGAATAGATCATCACTTTAAGAAACATGTTGATACCACGTTAAGTCAAATTTTTGAGGGTGAATTCAATATCTCTAGCCTCCATCAGGTTGCCCTTCGGTTTCGCTTGCTTAGAGAGCATGGTCTTTGGGTGTCTTCAGGTGTGTATGGAGTATCTATTTATAAATAAATAAATAAATAAATACAAGGAACGAATATGAGTAGGGCGATTCAGTGCCCAGGCTCATCTACACCCGGTTAGAAAATAATTCATAAAAATTCAAAATAAATTCAAAAAAATCATTTTTTGTGCGGTAGACAATTTGATGCATGAGGGCCCACTCCAAATTTCAAGTCATTCGGACATCTGAGCAGCTCTCAGCAAAAAAGATAAATCAGGCCAAAACAGTAAAAAAATTACAGACCCCTAATTTGTCTTTTTTGCTGAGAGCTCCTCAGATGTCCAAATGATTTAAAATTGGAGCGGACCTGACGCATCAAATTGTCTACCACACAAAAAAATTAGAATTTTTCTAGTATTTGTTTAGATTTTTTTCGTCAGCGCGGGTGCAGATGAGCTCGGGTGCAGAGATGGATTTTTGCACGAATATTCACAAATCATAGAACAATATTATTCTCCACTAGGGTAACACTGAGCTTTCATTACTAACTATAAAATGGCATGAGTTATTTGAACAATGTGTCGCCAACATTTGTCTTGCAGATGTTTTCGACAAATTTAAAAATGAAGATGGGAGCTTTAGGGAAGATATTACTAGTGACCCTAAGGGACTTTTATGTCTATACAACGCAGCTCATCTTCTCATTCATGCCGAGCCATCACTGGAACAAGCTATCTCTTTTTCAAGGCACCATCTTCAATTGATGAGGGACACTCTCAAGTCCCCTTTAGTTGAGCAAGTCAAACGTGCCCTTCACATGCCATTCTCAAGGACGTTTAAGAGGATGGAAACACTGCGTTATATCTCTGAGTATAAGCATGAGGAAGGACATAACCCAACTCTATTGGAGCTAGCAAAGCTGGATTTTAACCTTCTATAGCATGTCCACTTGAAGGAACTGAAATATCTCACTAAGTATGTCTTCGTCATACTCAATTACACAATGAAGATGGAATCAATATAAAACGTGCCCTTCACATGTTGTATCCTACACATATATAGTTTGGACATTGTCCATCATGTGGATTATTAGGGAAAAAATCTATTTTACCTGGACTAACCAAAGTATTGTAGGTGGTGGCGTGATCTTTACAGACATGTCGGGCTAAACTATGCTCAGGACCGCCTGGTCGAGGGTTACATTTGGTGCTATGCGGTATACCATGAGAAAGATTTTGCGTTGTCCAGAATATTTCTTACGAAGCAGTTGATGCTTATTTCCCTGATGGATGACACGTATGATTCCCATGCCACCATAGAGGAATGTCGATTGCTAAATGCGGCCATACAAAGGTTTGTTAAATTTGGATTTGATTTACATCCATGTGTCAAGAACTAACATACAATCAGTTTCTATTTAATTTTTCATTGACGACATGTAGATGGGATGAGAGTGCCACTTCTCTTCTACCCAACTACCTTCAAAGATTCTATATTGAATTGTTGAGGATATTTAATGAACATAAGCGTGAAGTGGCCATTCGTGACACCTACCATGTTGCCTATGCCCGGAAAGCGGTACACCACCATGTGCCTTATATCATTACTATCATTCTATATACTGATGGCTTTCTATCTAATTTATTTTCTTCTATGTAGTTTCAAGATCTATCAGCTTATTATCTCCAAGAAGCTGAATGGTTACACCAGAATCACAAGCCAAGCTTCAAAGATCACATGAGTTTATCTGCCATGTCCATAGGATCACCAACATTATGTATAGGTTTGATGGTTGGCATGGGTGATCTAGTGACGAGGGAATCATTTGAGTGGGCAGCTGGTTACCCTAATGTCACCATATCATGCGGGAAGATAGCATGTCTAATGGATGACATTGTTGCATTTAAAGTATACTCTTTCATCTTCTTATTTAGGCCAAACTATAAGCATCAACCACCACCGGGAATCAAGATAATGTATCTAATTACTATTATAATATAAATATGCAGGGCGGGAAGGCCAAGGGAGATATAGCAACCTCTATAGAGTGTTACATGGTTGAGCATAGGGTCACAAGTGCGGTTGCCATTTCCAAGATCCTTTCACTGCTAGAAGATGACTGGAAAACTCTAAATCAAGCTCTCTTTCAACATCACGCACAACTCCCGATGGTGCGGAGGATTATTAACTTTGCTAATAGCATGCCATTATTCTATGCTGAGAAAGATGCATATACCTTCAATATCCATCTTAAGGATACCGTTGAGAGCCTTTTTGTTGAAACCATTCCCATGTAGGCTCTAATAGGTTGTGTGGCAGTTTATCTTCAGTAAAGATGCCACTGTGCACCATGACGTGTTAATTGGAGCTTGTGCATTGTCTTTATCCCTATAAATAAATATGATAAATAAGTTATTGCATTCATAATTTTTGGATGATATGAGATATAATTGTGTGTCTCTATGTTTTATACTTATCTTATTAATTATCATTGTACAAAAAGAACTCCATCTGCCGCAATGGAGTACTTTTTCTTTCCGGGGCATAAGTCCTTGAAGATCATAGATTTTAAGTGTGCCAATTTACATTATTATTTCTCAGAAAGGTGAGAATACCCTTTTATCTTGCTCGGCAACATTGTTTGCATCACATTACATGACATTTCTGTTAGGGAACGTAGTAATTTCAAAAAAAATCCTACGCACACGCAAGATCATGATGATGCATACCAACGAGAGGGGAGAGTGTTGTCTACGTACCCTCGTAGACCGGCAACGGAAGTGTTGACACAACGTAGAGGAAGTAGTCGTACGTCTTCCCGATCCGACCGATCCAAGTACCGAACATACGGCACCTCCGAGTTCTGCACACGTTCAACTCGGTGACATCCCTCGAACTCCGATCCAGCCGAGTGTTGAGGGAGAGTTTCGTCAGCACGACGGCGTGATGACGGTGATGATGTTCTACCGACGCAGGACTTCGCCTAAGCACCGCTACGATATGACCGAGGTGGAATATGGTGGAAGGGGGCACCGCACACGGCTAAGGAACGATCACGAAGATCAACTTGTGTGTCTTTGGGGTGCCCCCTGCCCCGTATATAAAGGAGTGGAGGAGGGGGAGGTCCGGCCCTCTCTATGGCGCGCCCTAGGGGAGTCCTACTCCCACCGAGAGTAGGATTCCCCCTTTCCTAGTAGAGCTAGGAGCCCTTCCAAGTAGTAGGAGTAGGAGGGAAGGAAAGGGAAGGGAAAAGGAGAAGGAAGGAAACGGGCGCCCCCCTCCCTAGTCCAATTCGGACCAGCCCATGGGGAGGGGTGCGGCCACCCTTTGAGGCCTTTCTCTCCTTTCCCGTATGGCCCATTAAGGCCCAATACGAATTCCTGTAACTCCCCGGTACTCCCGAAAATATCCGAATCACTCGGAACCTTTCCGATGTCCGGATATAGTCATCCAATATATCGATCTTTACGTCTCGACCATTTCGAGACTCGTCGTCATGTCCCCGATCTCATCCGGGACTCCGAACTCCTTCGGTACATCAAAACACATAAACTCATAATATAACCGTCATCAAACTTTAAGCGTGCGGACCCTACGGGTTCGAGAACTATGTAGACATGACCGAGACACGTCTCCGGTCAATAACCGATAGCGGAACCTGGATGCTCATATTGGCTCCTACATATTCTACGAAGATATTTATCAGTCAAACCGCATAACAACATACATTGTTCCCTTTGTCATCGGTATGTTACTTGCCCGAGATTCGATCGTCGATATATCAATACCTAGTTCAATATCGTTACCGGCAAGTCCCTTTACTCATTCCGTAATACATCATCCCGCAACTAACTCATTAGTTGCAATGCTTGCAAGGCTTATAGTGATGTGCATTACCGAGTGGGCCCAGAGATATCTCTCCGACAACCGGAGTGACAAATCCTAATCTCGAAATATGCCAACCCAATAAGTACCTTCGGAGACACCTGTAGAGCACCTTTATAATCACCCAGTTACGTTGTGACGTTTGGTAGCACACGAAGTGTTTCTCCGGTAAACAGGAGTTGCATAATCTCATAGTCATAGGAACATGTATAAGTCATGAAGAAAGCAATAGCAATAAACTAAACGATCAAGTGCTATGCTAACGGAATGGGTCAAGTCAATCACATCATTCTCCTAATGATGTGATCCCGTTAATCAAATGACAACTCTTTGTCTATGGCTAGGAAACATGACCATCTTTGATTAACGAGCTAGTCAAGTAGAGGCATACTAGTGACACTCTGTTTGTCTATGTATTCACACATGTATCATGTTTCCGGTTAATACAATTCTAGCATGAATAATAAACATTTATCATGATATAAGGAAATAAATAATAACTTTATTATTGCCTCTACAGCATATTTCCTTCAGTCTCCCACTTGCACTAGAGTCAATAATCTAGTTCACATCGCCATGTGATTTAACACCAATAGTTCACATCACCATATGATTAACTGTTGGAGAACATAGTAATTTCAAAAAATTTCCTACGCACACGCAAGATCATGGTGATGCATAGCAACGAGAGGGGAGAGTGTTGTCTACGTACCCTCGTAGACTGAAGTGGAAGCGTTGACGCAACGTAGAGGAAGTAGTTGTCGGGGAACGTTGCAGAAAACAAAAATTTTCCTACTCGTTTCACCAAGATCATCTAGGAGTTCATCTAGCAAGAGTGATTAGATGCATCTACATACCTTTGTAGATCGCGAGCGGAAGCGTTCAAAAGAACGGTGATGATGTAGTCGTACTCGACGTGATCCAAATCACCGATGACCAGCGCCGAACGGACGGCACCTCCGCGTTCAACACACGTACGGAACAGCCACGTCTCCACCTTCTTGATCCAGCAAGGGACGGAGGAGAGGTTGAGGGAGATGGCACCAGCAGCAGCACGACGGCGTGGTGTTGATGGAGCTGCAGTACTCCGGCAGAGCTTCGCTAAGCACTATGGAGGTGGAAGAGGTGTTGGGGAGGGAGAAGGAGGCAAACAAAGGCCAAGGCGTTCAGGTATGAAGTCCCTCCTCTCCCCCACTATATATAGGAGGGCCAAGGGGGTGGCCGGCCCTAGGAGATCCAATCTCCTAGGGGGTGCGGCGGCCAAGGGGGGTTTCCCTCCCCCCCAAGGCACCTAGGAGGTGCCTTCCCCTCCTAGGACTCTTCCCCCTTCAAACCCTAGGCGCATGGGCCTATTGGGGCTGGTGCCCTTGGCCCATTAGGCCAAGGCGCACCCCCTACAGCCCATGTGGCCCCCCCGGGACAGGTGGACCCACCCGGTGGACCCCCGGGACCCTTCCGGTGGTCCCGGTACAATACCGATAACCCCGAAACTTGTCCCGATGCCCGAAACAGGACTTCCCATATATAAATCTTTACCTCCGGACCATTCCGGAACTCCTCGTGACGTCCGGGATCTCATCCGGGACTCCGAACAACATTCGGGTTACTGCATATACATATCCCCACAACCCTAGCGTAACTGAAACTTAAGTGTGTAGACCCTACGGGTTCGGGAGACAAGCAGACATGACCGAGACGACTCTCCGGTCAATAACCAACAGCGGGATATGGATACCCATGTTGGCTCCCACATGCTCCACGATGATCTCATCGGATGAACCACGATGTCGAGGATTCTATCAACCCCGTACGCTATTCCCTTTGTCTATCGATATGTTACTTGCCCGAGATTCGATCGTCGGTATCCCAATACCTCGTTCAATCTCGTTACCGGCAAGTCACTTTACTCGTACCGTAATGCATGATCCCGTGACCAGACACTTGGTCACTTTGAGCTCATTATGATGATGCATTACCGAGTGGGCCCAGTGATACCTCTCCGTCATACGGAGTGACAAATCCCAGTCTTGATCCATGTCACCCAACAGACACTTTCGGAGATACCCGTAGTCTACCTTTATAGTCACCCAGTTACGTTGTGACGTTTGGCATACCCAAAGCACTCCTA